GAAAACCCCAGCCACTGACTCTGCAGACTGATGGAAGCTCCAGCTGCAAACAACAAAAGTGAGTTCCCCACATTTAGGTCACTATTTCTCACTGTCCTCTATTGCTTTTTCTTTTCACAAATAATACACTCTGCTTCTCTAGACTGCTGATTTAATAAGACCTTCAATAGGAAAAGCAGAGTTAGAAATGCCTCAAAAATCACATTTCCTTATCATTTTTAACTTCGAACTAATGGCAAGATCACTTTTTCTAACAGTGTGTTGAAACAGAAGATTCCCCCAGGGCTGGTGAGAGATGGCTCATGGGTAAGGGTTCCTGCTTCTTACTTAGCCTGACACTCTTTGGAGTCTGATATTTGGAACCCACACGGTAGAAGGAGAGAATCCACTCTGTCCTGACCTCCACATGCAATCTCTAAATCTACACACACACACACACACACACACACACACACACACACACACACACTCCTAAATAAAAATTTCAAAAAATAAGATTCACGTGTATATATTTAAGCTAAAACGTAAGCTTGGGCCAGGTATTGTGGTCTATGACTTTTTTCCCCCTAGCATTTGAGAAGCTGAGGCAGGAGGACTGCTGTGAGTTCAAGGCAATCTGGGCCATGTAGCAAGTCTCTGTGTCTTAAAGAAAACTAAAAACCCAAACCAACCAACAAAATCTTAAAAGCTTTAATTACAGAACACAGTTATTATTCATGTAAAAAATGACAGGTACATTTTGAAATAATGACGTTTCTGAGTTTGCTAACTACATGGAAGGGCAATTCATTTACTTACCTGTGCAGGTCCAGTTCCACATAGGGAAGGATGAGTTTTTCTTTAATCAGTTCCCAAATGATTCGTGTCATTTCATCTCCTTGCATCTCCACCACAGAACCACCATGAATTTTTTTGGACATTTTTAACTTCAATAACCCTTAAAAAAAAAAAAAAAAGATATGTACCTGTCACGCCATAAAGTAGAAATAAAGTATTGATGATTTGGTGACTATTAAAAAAGGATAATTTATAATGGCACAATTATACAGATAACAATTATATATGATAACAGCTACATGTGATAACAATTGATGAGAACTTCTCTGTGTGAGGCACCATGCTACAGTGCTTACAGGTGGCTTCTGAGTCAGCACTGGAAGACAACCCTGTAAGAAATTATTTGCCAATTTGAGAGAAAAATAGCTTTGCCAAGGCCATCTTGGCCATCTGTGGGGGAACCTGGCCCCAAAACATGCCTTTAATAATGTAATCATTATTCTCAACCACTGGTTGTCTTACAAGAGCAGATCTGTTATTTGTAGAGATCTTTCAACTGGTTTTTATGACCCATATTCAGGGGGACTCCCAATAATGGAAAATAAAGAATTCTTTGTAGAATTAGGCTTACTACAGATATTGGCAATGTAGGGCTATGTTACAAAAGTGATTTCTCCGATAGAGACATCAGGTTACAGAAAGTCCCCTTCCTAGTACCCATGCTTGTCCGAGTCATGTTCCTTGGTATCTCAAATCCTGCCCTGCTCCCCTGGCACTTCAGGGGCAAGAGCAGTGGCCTATAGGCCGGGATACCATGTTGTTCTAAGAAGACATATTACTTCAAAAAGTATTAATTTATCTGATTCCAATAAAGTCTAAAGGTAGACTGTTTGGAAGAAGAGAAACTTCAAGGCCTTTGAAAACACTGTGCTTGTTGCTCAGGAGGCAAAGGGTCCCTGAGCCCTGTAAAAGTATCTGTTCCTTCTAATGGCACTGTTGTGAAACAGTTTCCTCTGGCATTGAAACATTCCCTCCAGTACCAAGCTCTTTAAACAGGCAGGTAAACAACTCAATTAATGCTGAGACTCTCTCAGAGTAGGGAAGGCAAGCTTTGAGGAAGACTCTTGAGATTAGACCAACTTCCTGGGGAGAGGTTTTATACCAACTGTGTCACTTGGAAAGGACACTCTCCAACCCGTTGAGCTGCCTGCAGGCTGTGCAGTGTCCTGCAGGTTCCCAGCTTTTGTGAGTGGTCACCCATGCTGAGGTGGGCTTTGGTGATGCAGCTGTTCTTGGGTCATTTCTGGTTCTGTCTGAAACCTCTAACACATATTCCTGTAATCCCAATAATACTCATTGGCTTACCAAGTTGGGCTTTGGTGATATCCTTATTTGATCTGTTGTGGGAACTCTATCTGGGGTGACTAGATGTGTGTTGCATCTCCCCAGGAAAAGTCTTGTCACACACAACAGACACTATAATGGGATATTGATTTCCAAAAAATGCAATTGCAGATTTCTCTCAGTTGTAGCTAAGAACCAGGAAAGTCTTGGGACTTTAAAACAATTATTAGATAACAGCCTAAAGTCATCTTGAAAAGTACAGCTAAACTAATTGGACCCTAAAGTTAAATTTTAAAAAAAAAGTAGTGATTATTAGACAGTAGGTCTCAAATCCTCACAAGAAACCAGGAATATTTTCTCAATTCTCAAGTCCCATCTTAACTTCTTAGATTTGCAATTCTAGAATCCTATTTCCAGTATTGGGGTACCCTTAGTCCACTACCAGAGAAGTTTCTGGAAGGCAATTAGAAGAAATCAACAAACTGGTATGGGTGAACCAATACTACCTGTCAGATACAACTTAAAGATTAACTTACAGTAGAGCATAAAGCCCATAATTAATCCCATTTTCACCACAACCGGGCTTTAAACCCAAACAAAGCCAAACAAGACAGCAAACTTATCTTGTTTTTGATACTACATTTTTCACGGCCATGTTCCTACACAGCATTACACAACAGTTATGACTAGGCTATTTTCCTGTGATGGCAAATACAGCTAATAAAAGATCACAATGCCTGGAATGTCTGCCATTTTTGTTTTGGTTTGTTATTTCCTCCTTGGTGAATATGTACTCTGCCATAATCATCCTATATCTCAGAACACAATAATGATACATGCCAGATTTCCCTCACTCTATTCTTTTTTGTTTTTTTTTAGCACCTGTTAACTAAAAAAAAGTGAAGCTGTACTGTGACTATTACTGCATTCTGAATTTGCTTTCCATGAGACACGGGCTCTACATATCCCTGGATCCCATTTATCATTGGGTCTTAATTTTCTGAATCCACCCAACCCCAACCTTTGAAGGAAACTGTGATCCAAGGCCTTCAGCTACTAGCTCATTTATATAGTCTGAAGGCAGCTAAATTCCAATCTCTTGACATGCTTGTGCAATTCCAGAAAAATAAACATAGTAATGACAACAGACTAGTTGAAGCAATAGGAGCCCTTTACCATACTTAATTTCCATAAATCTCAAGCTTCTATTTTGAACCAATTTATTCAGCTGTGTTCAAGTTGCAAAACATATGAGTTGCAGTATATTGTTGGAAAATTCCCTTTTCCCTCTTTTGCAGTACTTAAACTTGCACCCACGCCCAATTAACTGTACAGTGTGGCCACATTAAAGAAAGCAGGTTGAAGGGCTAAGTTGCTAATTCTCACCTTGATGGTGAATGGACCTCCATAACAAGGCCTCTTAATTTTGCTGACTCAGACGACTGTAATTTCAATTTCTCTTCCAAAACAAAGCAAAATCGGGAACAGAAAGTCTTAACATACAAACACCCCTGCCAGGAGGATCTGGTTGGTTTTAATACCAGACTGACAGCCCAGTTTATCTGGTTTAAAGTACAGTGCTGAGTGTGTCTGGAGAGGCAAAGGGCAGTTTCTTTGCACAGAAGCCTTCCAAATAAAAGTCAAAAGACTACAAATATCTATGCATGCGCTCACGGAGGGTGAGTCCCAGAGCAAGCGCCTTGCTCCTGGCTTTTTGTGGGTTTCTGGTTTGTTCGACCTCGGGTGACACTGTAAGCCAGCAGATATCCTTGTTGGCATTGTGCAAGAGGTCTAAAACTGAAGCTGACTCGGTTCCTTCTTCTAGATCCTCACGCCTGTCCTATCTCTCAGCGGTGCCAGGACCTTTTAATACCAGGTCCACCCAGCTGGCTGCAGAACTCCTCCAGAACTCAAATCCATGAGGAGCAGGAAGAAGGGGAAAGAGTCCTTCTCCAATCCTCAGGGCGCCCCCAAGTGGCTAAGCAAACACTCCAGATTGAAGCTGGAGGCCCGCCCACCCTCATCCCCTCCCTCACGAACAATCTCACTAGCACTTCTCCGGCCTCAAGGCAGGTCCCACCCCCCTCCCGAACATTGATGAGTACTGAGCACACGCCTATAGTTCCCGGCTCACACCCTTTCTGCAACCCGTTCCCTAAGGTCGCATACTTTCTTCCTCTAACACCCAAGACTCAGAGTTCTGTGCGTTCTCCCCACAGCTAGATTCTCCTCCGCCGGTGTAGATCTGCTTTGGCACTTGTCACAGCATGCAACGTCCCTGCGGCCCGAATCTTACGACCCCACCCTCGGGAGCGCCCTTCTTTACAGAAAGGCAAGCCGCTCTCCCCCCCCCCCCCTTCCCCCCCCCACGCC